GCCCCTGCCAATCTCCTACCCTCAGGCCAATCAGGAGCTGGGGCTGGAGGAATGCACAAAGTCTCCTCCCCTGCCAGCAGTGCGTGGTACTTAGAGTCAACTGCCAGGGTTGGCTCTAAGCACAGCCTGCACTTTGCAGGGCAGAGGCAGGGAGGGAGGAGACGTCACATGTTCCTCCCACCTCCAGGCCCTCATTGACCTGGGGGCAGGTGGGGCAATGCACGATGTCTCATCCCGCCGCCAGGAGTTCAGAACAGCTGTTGGTTCTCTCAGGGAGGCAGGAGCAAACACTTCATGTGCTCCACCCCCATTTGAGGGTAATCAGGAAGCACGAAGTTTCCTGGTCCTGCCCCTTCTGACCAAGGCTCCACCCCTTCCGCCAAAGGCCACGCCCCTTCCAGGGCAACCTGAGGCCACTTCAAACATTTCTGAAGTGGCCCTCTCTGGCTAAATTTACTGCACACCCCTGATTTAAAGGCTTCTGAGATACTGAGGCTATAACCTCAATGTTAACGAGTATGGAAATGAGTACCTTCTTAATTACTCCTTTCCCCTCTGATTTTCTTAATTAACTTATTCCTGTGGTGTTTCAGTCATACAGACTCCCATGTCGGTCAGCAGCACAGCTGGACCCTTTAGCTTCATCCACCGCACTGACGGCTGCTCGCCGACCCAGCGCACTCACCGCCAGCAGGAGTGGGTTGGCATGCGCCATGTGGCCAGCAGCGGAAGGGTGTGAGACACACGCTTTACCACAGGGTTGCACAGCTGTTTGGCACGAGCAGAGGAACAGTGAGACTCAGGCGGGATGAGTTCTCCTCCAGGCTGTGACTCGCTGTCACGTTACTGGATTTTAAAGGGAGCAGCCATATCCCTGCTGCGCCAATAGAGGGTAGCCCCACAGTGTGTACAAAAGGAGCCGGGTTACCCCAAAGTCTGTACAAAGGGGGCCATGTCAGATGTCAAACAAAAGCTTATGTCCTACTGATTCTATGAATGCTACTCATGTACTTGTGTGATATCTGTCTGTGGAGTTATAAACCTGTACTCTATGTGGATGCTGGAAGATTCTCTGTGGGTATGTCTATACTACCCTCCTAGTTCAAACTAGGAGGGTAATGTAGGCATACCGCACTTGCAAATGAAGCCCGGGATTTGAATTTCCCGGGCTTCATTTGCAT